TGCATTTGACTTGTTTCCAAGTAGTGTCTAATCTAAGCATTAATTTACCAAAGTTTGAACTAGTGAGATTGGGGAACGAGAATAATAGTACTAGTTTGGCAAGAGTTTTAGGCTTTAAGTGGTGGATCTACCAATGAAATACGTAGGACGCTATTTGATGCTGGCTACAAAGATGTGAGAACATGGGACCTGGTGGTGACAAGAGTTGAGCAGATATTGGCTGGGTGGAAAAAGAACCTTCTTTCTAAAGGTGGAAGACTAACACTGATCAAAAGCACAAAATTCAACTTACCAGTCTACTAAATGTCCCTACTAATGATTCCAGTGAGCGTTGCTGAAAAGATGGAAGCCATTCAATAAACATTCTTGTGAAGAGATTCAGAGGAAAAAAGGAGATACCATTTGGTAGTCTGGATAAGGATTAAAAGATCATTAACATAGGGAGGACCGGGTCCAAGATCATAGGCAGAGATGGATTTAGCTCTACAAGGTAAGCGGATATGGAGATTCATGGTGGAAATAGACATTTTATGGAGAAGGGTCATTGAAGCAAAATTCGACACGACGGATAGCGGAAGATACACTGGAGTTAATACTAGGCCACATGGGAAGGGACTATGGAAAAAGATTTACATGGAAAAAGATAAATTTTAACAGTGTATCAATTGGAGGATCGGGAATGGGGAGAGAATTGGATTTTGGAAGGACTTGTGGATTGATGGGGAAACCCTCATGTTTTTGTCATTGCTAAACATAAGGGTATTTCGGTCAAAGACACATACATAGATGGAGCAGGAGGGAAGAAATGGAATTGGAAGTCACGAGAAATCTTAATGACTAGGAAGTTAATGATTACGAGTCACTCTTGAAGTCTCTGTGCACTGTATCCCTAAGTGAGAATCATGATCAGTCGGTTTGGTCCCTCAATACTACAGGGGAACTCACAATTGGCTCCTTTTATGGACTAGTTAATAAACAATGAGAACACTAAGAACAACTTCCCATTCGGACAGGTTTTGGAAGCTGAATGCACCTCCTAGGATTCTTTTTTTGCTTGGGAAGCATGTTGTGGATGAATATTGGCACAAAAAAATTGATGAGAAAATGAAAGATAATAGTAAATAGGTGCTGCCTATGCAAGAGTGAGGAAGAGACATGCGATCACATCCTACTTTGGTGTCTAGTTGCTTATAGCTTATGGATAATAGCTTATGAGATTTTGGGGTTTAGCTGGGTTATTGCAGGATGCGTAAGAGATAAATTGAGGGCCTAGAGTGGTATAACTAGGAGGAGATAACAAGAGGGGCTTATACCATTAACAATCTTTTGGGTCTTATGGAAGGAAAGAAATAGGAGAACTTTTAATAGGGTTGAAAGGAATCTTGATAAAATTAGAGCAACATGGTTCCAAACCTAGGTTTTTGTATAAAGGGTCGACCTTTATACACTATAGAGGCTTTTGGAGATTTGATAGATATCATGATTGAAATGTAAATATTTGTTTATATAGGTTTGAACCCCCTTGGTGCTCATACGTAATGATATTATACTTTTTACTTAAAAAAATCCAATTGAAGATAACACAAAATCCTAAAGCAAAACAAAGGCAAAACAATAGTTTTGATTCATCGTGCAATAGTACACACATGTTCAAGACAAAGATTGTCAACTAGAAGCATTTGCTACCAAGCACTGGGAGATGAACATCACAACCTCGACCATCAACACCAAAGGACACCACTTGGCCAACCCTTAAAATCTCAGCCCCTAAATTCGTTGGAAACCATTACAACTAGCCACTTTCTTGTCGGAGTCTATCATTCTCGATAACATCAATCAACACTGACACCAGATCTACCAGGGCCCCCAGATGACTCCCTAGTTGGAAGACTAGAAACCTATTACTAGTGCATGACTCCCACGCGCCAACCATTGGGGGTGGGTTTCAGCTTTTTTTAAATTTTGCTGACTGGTTCAAACCAGTTCGGCTCAATCCAGTTTGACTTGCCCGGTTCAACCACTTGCAAACTGGTTCTTTCTCAAGGTTTTTAGGTGTGGTCTTTGACTTTTTTATGTTAGTTCGTTCAATTCACATTCTATGCTCACTTTTTAAACAGATTGACAATTTGAACAAGTCAGGTAATATCTACAAATGCATTCAGCAAAGTTATCTGATCTAAGGTGCACATTAAGTCACCATAAAGAAAAAAGATGCATTTTAAGTCTTTCAATTGGATTGTTAGAACAGAAAAAAGATGCTATATCGTCAATTACCACCTTCCTTTTGCCAAAGAATTTTGGAGAGATCAAGTTCCTTAATAGGTGAGGTGTTTGCATATATTGAATTATTAGACAGACTATTCATATGATTATGCATATATTAAGTTACTAACTTAATTTGAGATTCAAGATCTCCAATTTGGTTTTTAATAATTTTCTACAAGTATCATTCACAAGTTCTCTTTATCCTACATTAATAATATGTCAAATGCATAAAGGGTCAGATTTGCAAGAAGAAACTTGATGGGCTTGCAAAAATATGATGATATAGCATTGATGAGAAATTAACAAGAACAAGATAACTTTTAATTGAAACATGGGATGCAATGAAAGCCACCCTGTTGGAAAAATACATGACAACAACTATTTTGACAAGATAAATGATTAGGCGTACATCTCGACACAAGGGCAGTATGTTAATGGTCGAGTATACACAAAAATTTGAAGAATTGAAAATACGAAGTCAACTAATTGAGTATGATAGTCAAGAAGCATCTTGGTTCAAGGTAGAATTAAGGGCTAGAGTTAAAAGAGAGTTAAATCAGCAACCAACTGCAACCACGCCCAAGTATATCAAGCTGCTGTTAACATGGAAGATACTTTGGACTATTCAATTCAAGGAGCATTGGATTTTTGGTTATGCCATCCTTCCAACCTTTAAATCAAAACATGGGTCGAAAGAATGGATCATTATGAAGGTAAGGAAATTGTATGTTTCAACGATTCACAGATCGGACATATGGGCCATCAACACCCAAAGAAGAACAACTTGCATATTGGAATGGAACAAAATTAGGAGATGCAAGGATGAAAGAAAGGATATGAATCCTATGACGATAATAAATTAGCTTGCGAGCATCAAGATGATACCTCTCCTTTGTCCATAATGAAAGCAACCCCTCAAGTGGAAAATAAGAACTGTCATATACACCTACTGCTTAAGATCTTTCACCTACAGAGGGTTCTATAGATGTTTATGCAAAATAATAAATATTAAATAAATAAAAAATAAACTAACATGTGAGTCTACAAAGATAGCCAGCTCAAAATGATCCTACGCACAGGGTTTTCGAATGCTAACCAATTATGCGTTTCTGTTAAGAAATTGATTAAAAGAAAGCTAAATTTTTATTACGAAGCTTGAATATCAGTTTTACAACATTTCTCACTTCAAAACTCATGGATGAGTATTCTCTAATCAGGAGAGAATGATACGAACAGGATTAGGTCTATATTGCCTAAATGGATTGAACCTATCATATTTTTACTTTTTAAGATTCCTACTACTATAATTTCAATAACTTTAAAATTTTGTCCATTTTAAGTATTTCGTGATACTATTCCTATTACGATTACTAGTTCCTAGTTTTCGTAATCTTATTAGAATTATTAGCCTAATCTACTTGGGAAAGATTAGCAAGCAATAGCTATAAATATCATTGCAATCTCACTTTTGAGAGAAGACCAATTACTCAACAAAATTTCTTTAAGGATCTTCTCAATCTTTCTGATCGGGTGAAGCAAAAAAACTCTTACATAATTGTGATGCCTGAGAATTCTTGAGAGTAATATCTAAGAAACAATAGGTGTAATGTTTAGGTTTTATCCCCAAACACCTTAGAGAAATTACCATAAGTTTCTCCCCGTTATCCTATATATAAATATAACCATATGCACATAATAAGAAACAAAAAAAAAGAAGCAAAAATCAATTAGTCAACAGGCTTATAGATAAACAGGTGAAATCAAGTCATCAAACTCACAATTTTGGGCCAGAATTCAACAAGTTCAATTATCAATAAAGAACTCCTGGTGTAAAAGGGTCTTCTTCTGAATTATCTGAAATGCAATTGACGGAAGAGATTAGCACAAAGAAAAGAGGGGGATTTAAAATTAAAGCTTAATGTATTTCCTAAAAACCTTCAAGAAATCCAGCAAAATTCCCCCTTAAAATAGCACGTAAAATAACAATAAATCCAAAGACAAGGTTATCAAAATATTAAAGCCAAATCAAGAATGTTCTTGTTGAATATGCAGCTTTGCTAAACAATATCTCAATATTGTCAAGCCAAAGACATTAAACTAGCAAGAATATCCATACAGATAAACACGTTCAAGCATAATCAACGACAAATCAACATTAATCAACCTAGAGCTAACTCAGAGCATTTTAAATACGTGTCTGACCACGAAAC